AGATGGATGGGCTAGGATTAGGCAGTCTGCAAGCAGAGCTCTAGTTAGTGGTGCTAACTGTACAGAGTTAAATGTGTGTCCCAATGATGTTGGCAGTGCCCAGGAAAAGAGCAAGCTCTTTCCTGGACAAGTGGGATGGGGAAAAGAAGAGTGGCAGACCTGGACATGCTACACTTAACACACACCCAGATAGCAAGGCTTCTCCTAGCCCCCAGCCAGCCAGAACACAGACACAAATTAAAATGTACATCTAATGCCAACAGGCGGAACCAAATCTACTTCTTCAGCTTAGTGCATGAGCTGGGGGTGTAAAAATACATTTATTTAGGTCTTCTGCTTTTAACCAGAAGCAAGGAAAATATTAAAACATCAAGATATATATAAAAATGCTACTGTACATAGAGTAGTTAGTATTTTAAAGGCTCGCCCTGTCTCTAGTGCAGTACACTGATCTTGGTTTCCAAATGCTAGCAGGAAAGAATCTGTTGTAGAACAATGCAACACTGAAGCTCTTATTTTATTTAACACATGAAGCACAGTTTCACAATCTAGTTACTGGAACTGAAAAAGCCAATGTGCAGCAAACTTTGTCTATTGCACTGACCTGTCACTGGAAAAATCTTCCACTTGACACATCACAGAATAACACTTAAGAACATAATCATACTGGATCAGACCAAAAGTACATCTTGCTTAGTATCCTGTCTTTCAATAGTGACCAATACTAGGTGCCTCAGAGGAAAAGAACCAAACAAGTTATCCTTCACATCACCCATTCCCAGCCTCTGGCAAACAGTGCTTAGGGACACCATTTCTACCTATCCTGATTAACAGCCATCAATGGACCTATTCTCCATTACCCTATCTAAGACTTTTTAAAATTCTAAAACCCTGACATTTTTTAGAATCTTGGCCTTCACAACACTTGTATACTCTAGCTGGTCAAAACATGCCACTTTTATGCTCCATCTGATCAATGCTGTCTATATGTATATATATATATATATATATAATGTTCCAGGTGAATAAGAAATTCAGTATAAATTTGTAACGGTCTATGACATATTGAAACATTCATGTGTTGCTATGAAATCTCTAAGTAAATAAAAAACACATTAAGGAATTCAGACAGATGATAGGTAGGGACATGCACAAGGACAATAGAACTAAATGCAAGTTGTCAAAATTAAGGCTGACTCTAAAGTCACCCTATTAATATCCACAGGACAGGTCTTAATGCCTGTCTCAGCATCCAATATTCTGCAGCTCCCTGACTGAGGATCATAGTAATGGCAATGCTCAGAAGCAACTAAGTCATTTCAAAGCATATATGTGAATATCTGAGAAAGGAGGTCACATATGTAGATAAATAGTACTACATACATGTTCTGTAGTACAGAAATATCACACAAGGCAACTGGGTAATCCTCATAAGTGAACAGAAACCTAGATGTGATTATAAACTTACATACATTCTGGAGAGTCTGACTAAGAGGAATGAGGTAATCTCCAGGCAGAGTTAACTACATTAAGAATTTATAAGCTTCTGATTCACATTTCAAACCAGTTTTTATTTTATTATAATCAGAATAAATGGGTGCTCATACTTCCCTTCAGTACAGTGCACATTTAAAATTATGCATAAATCTTTCTAAAGAGGGCAGCTAACGCTTCATTTGTCCACTGTATTGGGTTCCCAAGGATGTACGGTTAATATAATGTTTCTATGCTGACATAGAAGAGGACTGCAAGAAAGTAGTATTAGATTATGGAAATTTCATAGCAGAGTTTGTTTTCAACAACTTCTTAAGAGAATTCAAGCACCTATAGCTTATTTGGAGGGAAAATCCTCACCTTAGAAAATATCTCTTGAGAAAATTAGTAAAAATAATGGAAATGTTGAATTCTGTTGTGAGGTGACTAATAAGTCAAAATAGCTCTCTCCTCCTTCCCCAGTACATAATTCTTCACACAAAATTTTAGTCTCCCTAATACAACAATGTTAAGGTTGCAAAGTGCAGCCTTGAAGAGTATGGAAATGGAAAATTAGTCTTACCCACAATACCTTAGCCTTGCCCTCTTTGTGTGTCAATTCAGCCTTTAATCAAATACTATTTTTGTAATTCTCCTGCATTCAATAAACAGGTTGGAAAGTGCTCAGTGCCTGCAGTACCTATTCAGTATTTATAGTTTCTCCTCAGTGTTCAATAGGAGCTTCATCAGCTGCCTCTCATCTAATCCTTACACTAAATGACATGGTTTTCTGCCTCCATAAAAATGTGCAGCCCTAACACAGCTATACCATGAATTTACTATTCTCACCTAACTCTTTCAGTGAAGATTTTGGTCATGCTAGCTCTCATGTTAGCATGGCAGGGGCTTCTGCAGCCCTACTCAGTAATGGTTGTCATGGAGCTACCTACACTAGGGAGACAATTAAGTTGGCAATAAGAGGTCTCAGAAATGAGTCTCCTCATCTGAAAAGAAAAGCAGCTGTTAGGCAAGGGGAGGAGACTCTGATCCCTAGCCCTTTTGTCTCCCTAATACAGATAGCTGCATGGAGCAGAGGAAGGAATAAAGATACATCTCAGATGCTCTGCTGTGTTTACCTTCAACTGTTCTTGAGGGGCTAATGGTGATAGTGTCTTATGGTCCATCACACACCTTTTCAGCCACCTGCTGCATCTCCAGGATAGTGAACTGTGTAATCCCATCCATGTTTCCCTCATAGTGCTCTGTCCACTTGTGAGATCCCCGCTTTGGGGCATTCAGGTTACCTCCACCCCTTCTCTTTCCACTGTATTTCAAGTGCCATATCATGAATTATGCATTTAGTCTGGATGGCCATCAAGAAGCTCAGGACCCTCACTGTACTATGGGCATGGCTGTAGACCCCAGACAGGACACTGCACCTGCTAAGATTGTGGATCAGGATCTTGCTTAGTGTAGTCATGTAAAAGTGAATTTACAGTAACTGCAGTAATGAAGAATGTCTTTAAATGTTTAGTTATATAAGTGTGTGTTTAAATATAAAAAAAGATTTACTAATCTACTCTGTGCTAATCTATGGTAATAAATTCACAACAAATAACAGAGCAGAAGCCAAACTACTAGAGACCATATTAGAGCAACAACCTGTCACAGGAAATATACTATGAGAAGAAGATACATCTGTGTTTATTTAAACATATCCTCAGCTGTAGCGGGACCACTTTGTGCATAGCTGGCAGTGGAACCTGGATGTGGACATTTCTCTAAGCCAGGGCTGGAGCACCATAGTACCAGCCCAGTGTCATTTTTGCAGTCCTCCCCAGTTCTTTAAAAAGAATACAGTATCTGATTTTAGTACACACACTTGGTACAGTACGTATACCACATCCACCTGATACAGTATATACTTAATTGGAAGCTGCATGCCTCCTCCTTATTAACATGTTATCTTTCCTGACACAGAAACACATTCTATATGTATGGTAGTGCATTATTAAACAAGCTTTGCAAACACTGAACATTTCTTAGACAAATCTTAAAAGAGTTCCGCAAGCTTGAAATGAAAAGGTCACTCCAGCTGTAAATTCTGACAGTGGAAGTTTCCAGATGGCAGTAGCCAATTTCCAATAAATTTTAATTGGTTTAATTGACTTTCTTGTTTACTAATTGATAGGGTGATGTAGTTCATTTAAATTAACCTCAATTACTGCCATAATTAAGCAAAGTTAAGCAATGCAAGAATATTTTTAAAGGGGGGGAGGTGGAAGGAATGTTTCACATTTAACATGATAGCCATTCTTGTCTGGCACTTTAGGGTATGATATCCCCTAAAGTGCCAGACAAGAATGGCTATTTTAATTTCTGTTCAGTCAAAGCAGAATCAAAAAATAATCTTGATGATTAGGTTTAGTAGTGGAAAGAAGATGGTACATGCACACAGCATCATTTCATTACTGGGCCATGTTAGAAGCACCAAGACTGGTGAGATGGTAAAAGGGACTCTGGAGACATAAATAAGGCACTGATCCCAATTTGCAGGGCTTCCCTGTTCTCTTATAATGGGAAGATTGGGGAGGTATACACAATACTGTATGTTCTGAGGATCTAACAAAGAAGAGAATCCACAATTTTAAGGGTTACTCTTTCAGTACTGAGGTCTACTACTCTGAAGTAGCCATCCTCATGGAGTGCAATAAAGTCACAAAAGAGCTAGTAGTATCTACTCAATGGGTAACAGGCAACAGTAATATGGCCACCACAGTCCTGATCCTGAAACTGGCTCTAAATTATGCCTCGCTTGTAATTATCATCAAAAATTATCATCGGTCAGTTACTATGCTTCTTTCACTCAAGCCATTCCTGACATGCCCCTGAAGCAGGGGCTGGGAGGGGCATAGAGTTGTCTATATTCTCTGGCTGTTTACATCAGTCATGAGTAATAACTAAATCAGTTTTACCACTGAGGCAGAACAAAAGGATTCAGGATTGAGCCTCATTTCTTCACTATTGCCAACTCGAAACTTTCATCAATCATGCACCGAGACCCTCAAAATTACGATACTGACTTAAAAACCATAGAATTTAAAAATAAGGATGACTGAGGGTTTGAGTCTTTAGGGTGACTGTAGGCCCATTTTTAAGCTTTACTCTGAAACCAGGAATTTTTGTTTAGTTTTGTTTTTTAAACAAAAGCCAAGATTTTCTTGAAATAACATACCTCCAGGAGATGGGGCTTTCAGAAAAAAGCTAAATATGGTAAAATTGATGAGAAAAAAATTCACAAAAGTTGGCAGTACTGTATCTTTTGGAAGATCCATGTTATGACTTGCCTTTCCTCCCATCTACACAAAACCTCTCAATGTAGTCTAATGATAACTCTGTATAATGCAACTATCAGTGTTGTACCTGGGCACTTATTCAATAGGGTCTGATATACTCCCACTCCAGCATGCTGCTTCCAACTGGAGCATTTCATTGAAATGTAAGCAAGAAATGTACACACTACTTACAAAAACCAACTGGCAAGGCACCTTCCAGGAGCACCAAACTTGGATGTGTCCACACTCTGCTCACCAGGGCGGTGTTCTTTTAACATTCCATCAGCATCTCAAACCTTAAAGAGAAAGGGTACTGAAAAAATATAGCCGTGGCATTCCATCGAGTTTTATGTAAACTAGAGACTATACAGCCCAAAGAAAAAGACTATGTTCACATAACTGTATACCTTGTAAATTCCATGTGCTAAAAGTGCAACCGCAGAAATGCTAATAAGCTAATTCATTCCAGGTTCTGCCAGGTACTGAACATCTAGGCGGGTGGTGAGGGAAAGGAAGAGGGAGGAGAGGGTTGTGACTTTGCATTTCCTCAATACTCCCCACATGAATGGTCTCCAGCATAGCTGTAAAAAGACTAGAGGTCTCAGGAACTGTTTTTAAGTGAACTGTGCAATGGGAGACAAAGCCTATATAAAGGCCCAATTTAAAATGCCTAGTTCATTTACAGATAAATATATACTTTTCCTCTTCATACAGATTTGTTGTCTTATTTTCAACTAATAACCCTGTAGCAAAAAAAATCATAGCTAATATTTAATGTCCTAACTGCCAAGCTGTCATGCAGGAAAAGGACTTCTAGGGTGCATTAATTCCCTGTTGAGGGAGAAATGACTGGACACAGCCTAAGGATATTCTTCCTCAGTCTCTCTGTATTTACAAAATACATATATTTCCTATCTTCTGAACAAACACGGACAAAACAACAACAATGATAATAAATATACAGAGAAAGAGTAACACTTTAAGAGCAATTGTTTTCCAGTTGTCTGAAACATACACTTGTCCCCATCTCTTGCACATAAATCGTGTTGCCTCAACAGCATCCCAAACACATTACAGGCAGTCCCCGAGTTACGTACAAGATAGGGACTGTAGGTTTGTTCTTAAGTTGAATCTGTATGTAAGTCAGAACTGGCATCCAGATTCAGCCGCTGCTGAAACTGACCAGCGG